GGTAGAAAGTAACAAAGAACTCTGAATTGCTCTGAATGAAAGCATCCCTACTTTTATTCAAAAAGTACCTAAGTTTTGACATCATATTTCCTACAATAAAGAAAATAATTATTTTGGAAGTAAAAAATGTAATGATTCAAAAATTGCCTGAGTTAGAGAACCTGGGTTAGTCTTCTTCATGTTGCTACTTCCAATCAAATCACCCAGTTTCAAGTGCAGCTTATTTGGTATGGATTCAGCTTGGTAGACTATGACAGAAAATATTTCCTGAGTAACTTTTTAAAAAATACAGATCTATTTTGTAAAACTCATTTACGGGCCACAAAACGTAGCTCAGAAGTGACAGTAAGAACAAACCAATATCCACAGTGCTTAGGAAAAGTGGAAACGAGGTCCAGAAAGTGAACGTAATAATGAGGAGCTATGTAATTCAGGGCTGTGAAAGGTTATACATAGCACTACTTAACGTGCAATGGTTTTAATGAAGATTGTCAGAAAACAGCCATTTTCCTCATTATTAACCATGTCAAAATTGAATTGCAAGTTTTCAGTGAATATTTATTGCATTTTAAAAATTGCTACCAGAAGCTTCTATTTCAGAAACAATATCTTGTCACCAAATCCATATGCATATGTTATTAGGAAAACAGGAATGAATCAGATCACAGGGAAACTTTTGGGGGATGAGAGCCCAAAGACAGTTAACAATTTATACTCTAAGATGATATTAAGGAAATGATAACTATGTGTGAGATTATTCTTATGAATATTAGTTTACAACTTATATATGAAGGTTTTGGTTTGCTTTATTTAGTTTGTAGGTACTAAACTTTAAGAATTTCTCTTCTCCACTTTTATTTCTACATGGAATTGGCTGTGGGTATTTTATACTTAATGAAAAGTTATGCTGCAGGAAAATACACTCCAAAAAGAATTGTTGGATCAAAGCCATTTTTCATGTAAGCTTCCATAATAAAATTTAGAGATGTGCTCAGCTGGGAAATTTTTCAATCCATTGACATAATAAAGATGACACTTAAGAATAGAATAACACTTTTAAAATTACATATTTAAAGAAAGTTATATGTAGTTTTAAATGTGTTGGGGAGAAGGATTGGCAGACTGGATGAAAGAAGGAGAAAGTATTAGCCCCCCCAAAAAATATATATATATATATAATACAAAGACAGACAACAGAGTCTAACCACAGGGAAAGGGAGGTCAGGGGTAGGTGAAGGTAAACAAAACACAGGAAGTGGGGACAGAAAGAGACTGTGCTTGGGGCAATGGGCACACGATGCAGTGTGTAGATAATGTATAATTGAGCGTACCCTTGAAACTTGTATGGTTTTGTGAACCAATGTCACCCAATAAATTCAATAAAAATTAAAAATTAAAAAATAGGAAAATTGTAACTTATGGATACATCATTGGAATTCAGTAATGCTCTTCTAACTCCAGACTCAGTAATACGGTAAAAATACTTAGAATTATCTGTTATATAGTAACAGAAATGACAACCCCTTACCCTATTTCACATTGCAGCCACCACTGAAATTTATCAATATATCTAATATCTGTACTTGCCTTAAACAACCATAGTATTTAGAAGTTGACATAAGGTAATTGTAATTTTCTCAGCAGTTTGCCCATTATTTGAATTCACCAGTGCTTTTCCCAAAGATCTTCCCTTTTGATACCAGCATAAGCAGCCAAGAACAGAAATGTGCAATACTTGCATACTAAAAAGGAGAATAACTCCAATGCCTTCAGAATATATTTTGCTTTCAGTTAGCTGGTTAATGTCCAAAAATGATCAAATATTCACTGACTGTGTCTGTGTGGATCATTCTGTTCTCTAACTAAGAACTTCTTTATTTAGCTCACAGCTTATATCTTACATACAGTATGTTCAAAACAACAATTATATTTGTGGAAACTATTAGCTACTGTTAATTAAAGTTTATTAGTAATAACTATAATCAAGAAAGAGTATTGCTTGCAGCAAAAGATATCAAATGAGAGGTATAAGGTAGTATATAGAACACTCAAAAAATTTCAAATTTGGGCATACTGTTCCTTAGAGTAAGTCTATGAATTAAATCGAGATTTCTTTATGTAGTATTTATAATTCCCATATGTGAATTTCTATTGGGGGGCATACCCCTCTTTTGATGTAATAATTATAGTATATTTTCTTATTGTTTTTTTTTCTGTGCACAAACATCAACTTACAATGGTTGACTAAAACCCAGAAGACTTAATGGTCATATAACTAATTGTCAGGACAGCAAAAAGCTATTAGAAGAGCAAGAAAATAAGTTTTGCAGAGGTTTGTAATTACAGATTAAACACTAATGTTAGTTGTTAATTAATAACACATGCATTATTACTAACATTATTAAAACTTAGACATCAATTACAGGACTCTGATATACCCTTTGTCTTTAGAAAATAATAGAAATAGTGGTACTAATTAATAGTACTAAAACTAAGTTATATAATTTAATGGACAAAAAATCATGTTGCTCATAGCATTTCCCTAATGTACTTTGTCAAGAAATAATTTTTAAAGTATACTAATAGTCTAAAGTACTAAACAGATCATCTTATACAAAACATTTAGATTACAACTGTCTCAGGAAACAGTGAAAAAATGAACAGATTATAAAAATATGTGAACTTAATACTTTACATCTGCTTAGAAAATATTCCCACTTGCCTCAGGAAACAGGATGATTATTTTAAATCTGACTTCCATAATATGTACACGTGAAAAGCTATTTCTATTGAATTTATTAGTTTAATATGTAATTTATCATTAAAAGAAAACTATGCCCACTGCAAAGTTCATTGCCACTGAGATTCCCCTCCCCCTTTAGGTTTATCCAGGATAGTAATACTCACAAAGATTAGAAAATCAAGTGCTTTAGTTGAACTCCCCTCTTCCAACAAGGTCTATATTTCTATCAAAAACTAAAACAAGTTTCTGACTTTCTCTTAAAGACTTTTCAACCGAACACCAGCCTTCAAAGATCTTTATTATTTTAGCTCTAAGTCTTTACTACTACTCTTCCAATTGTTGACCATGATGTCACATATATGCATTTTCTTACTCCAGTGGGTAAGCAATTTAACTCCTGGGACCTGCTCTGTTCCATTCTCCACAGTACCTACCTAGCATAGTAATGGGCACTTGGTGAAGAGAGAAAATAAAAGCACGTTGAAATCAATTTTTAAAATAACTAATTCATCCCAGAGTTTACTGGTCAAGTGCCTTGATTTCACTTGCAAAATTAACTATCTTATAATGTGGTTATGACAATTTAGGTAAATGCTCTTAAGTATGTGGCACCTTCATAGCCATGTCATTAAAACAGAATTCTAAATTGGATCCAAATTACTTCCTGCTTCTAAAAGTATGTGAAGATGAACAGCAAGTACCACATAGTGCATTATTATTTCAAATAACTCAGACTTGAATTCATCAAGAGCTTTTCCAAAACAAAACAAAACACTCTTTAACTTTGGAAATCCAACTACTAGAAGCATGTAAGTTTGCCAGTTCACAAAATAATGCTGATGTGCAAGATTATCTTGCAAGTGATATCAGAATTACATTGAGCTTTAAACCATACCGAAGAAGAGTACATCAAACATCATGAAAACTGCCAAAGCAAAGCATTTCATCCAAAACAATCAGGGAGCTGTCAGTCTTGACTTACTCACTAGATAAAGTTATCTAACCACAAATAACATCTATATCCTTTTAAAAAATCTTTAGCTTAAAAGCATTTACCCAAAACTAAATTTAGCTTTTCCATTGTTGCACTTCTTTTCCACTTCTTTCATTTTTTTTGAAAAGAAAAAAAACTGAAATGGCTTAAAAATCAGTATGAAGCAAAGAAAGTCAAATAAAAGGAACCCGTCTTGCATGGTCTGTGCACAGAAGTACCTTGCAACCCAAATTACTAATTAATCTAAATTCAGTCCAATTTTGAAAGGGCTCAGCTGTGAACTGTAAGTTTTTCAGGCATTTGGTTTTAATGAAACAACTTCACTCCACAAAGATAATGTTGGTAATTTTCAAAAAGCGCCTTACAACTTTAGATCTGCATCTAATCACCTGGTCCATAATATAACTTCAGGTCCTTCATGCCAATGTTTTTGTGGAAGCAACTACTGTCAACTGCAGGCTACCGCAGGAAGAACAGATAGATCATAACACATCCTCGCTTTTATTGGGAACATTTTAGGTTTCATCATATTTATTTATAAAGAGGTGTCATTCTGGGTGAAGAGTAATTAGTTGGTAAAATCTGTTTCCCTTGTCACCAATCGACCACTCTTTGTCTACTTCAAGTTTGATGCCACATTGGAAGTCAGGTGGAGTATTTGCTAGTTTGTTTATTATTATTATTATTATTATTATTGTTTTGTTGTTATTGTTATTATTTAATGTAAGTAGTCTTCCTAACTCCAATGTCAGGAGTCAGAAGCCAGGCACATGGCTTTCAGAAGCTCTCAGCACACAAGTAGCATGAAAACTGAAAGTAAGGGGCTCCTCCAGCTGCTGGTTCAAGCCTTGAGGCATGGAGCAACAGCACCCTGAGAATCTACTCTTGAGAAGCCTGTAGTGAGACTGAACCTCCTGAGAGCAAGAGGAGGGAAAAGGGGTGAGCTCGGCACTGGGAAAGTCTTTCCCAGAATCAGGGACCAGGTACAGGATTGTACGTAGAATAACCAGCATCTACGGCATCTAACAAACAGAGCCAGGCCTTAAGCACGACCCCGTATTGCTGGACACCAGGGTTGAGACCAGGGAGCGGTGGTTTTGAGAAGGAACACTATCTCAAATTGGAATGGGGAGCAGCGAACAGATAGATGTAGGAGAGGCGTCAGAAGCTTCTGCAGGAAAAAGCAGCGCTTCGGTCGCCTCCCAGGGCCCCGGAGGTCGGAAACGTGCTCCAGCACCGGGCGAGTGCGGTGCCACTACTCACCCCTACTCTCCTATGGTCCCCGTCGTGGCCCTCCTCGACTCAGCCCCTGCAGGGGCAGCCCCTCCCCCGCCCGCTGCCAGGGGTGGTCTCAGCGGGCGAGAGGAGGCGGCGGCGCAGGTGTCCGTGAGCGCGGGCCAGTGAAGCGCCCCAAGAGGAGCTGGGTGCAAGGGAGGCAATCTGGTGCCCTGCGCTCCCTGGCGCCGCCAACTTCACCACCATCGACGTGGAAGGGCGAGGGGAGGTAATGGAGGGGAGGCCCTCGCCCAGCGGCACGGACCCTCCCGGTATACTAGGCCACAGCTCCGGTGGGACTGCCGCCCCCGGTCCCCTCAGCGACACGACCCCCAGGCCTGATTCCTGTCCCTCAGCCCCCCACAGCCACAGAGCAGCAGCGGCTCCCTCTTGGGCCGCGGTGGCAGCTGCATCCTCGTGCTCCTCCTCCTCTGGCGCCGCTGCCTACACACACAGCCCCGGCGCCTTTAGAGCCAAAAGAGCCTCGGCGCCCTGACTGCCGTCGCCTAGCAACCGCGCGCATGCGCCCCACCCCCGCTGGCGACCGCCGCCACCGCTGGCGCCTCTGTGGGAGCTCAGTCCTCAACCTATGAAACTGCATAAAAGCCCCCTTCCTACAGCCTGGATGAAACATCCTCAAGTTAAGGGTGACATGGGGTGAGCTACGCTATGCTTTGTACATCGGAAGAGGACTTAGGGCTTAGGGACCTTCTCCTGACCCCTCGACCAGCACCTCAGTGGTAGAGAGTGACAGTCACAACAATCTCAACGTATTGTTTAGTTTCTCCTACTCCACTATAATCCATCATTCAGAAGGACTTGCAGAAAACTGTTCTAAATAACTTCTCTGACCATGTTATTCATTTGCATAAGTCCTATGGCCAAGAGACAGACCCACTGAATAGGGTCTAACAGTTCTTGACTACTACACCACCATCCTCAATAGCCTCCCTGCCTTTAGACTTGTCTCACTGCAATCTGTTTTCATAGTTCTACCAGAGTGATCTTTGTCAAACATAAATCTCCTAGTCATCTCCCTCTGGTTTAGAGGATGGGCTTTTGAATTACAGCCAATTTTGGATGTCTGCCGCACCCACCAAGGGACGATTTCCTTGAGCTAGGATGTTTCCTTGAGCTAGGATGCTTAACCTCTATTAATCTGTTTCATCTGTAAAATGGGAATAATTATAGTACGTGTAAAATAGTTATGAGGATTAAATGAGAGAATACACCTAACGTACATAACTTACTCTGGCACAAAGTAAGCACTCAGTAAAAAAATACAACTGTTTTTCAGTAGATCTCATTGCTTATAATAAAGGATAAAGTACAAACTCCCTAGCTTAGTATTACAGGTTCTCTAAGATCTTGCCTCTGTTTAATTAGCCCTTGCTCCTTTCAACTCCCCCTTGGGCACCCAGCTACAGACCAGTCCTTGCAGCTTTTATATCTATAAAGTACTTAGATATATATCCCCAAGGCCCATCTGGGGATGAAATCAATGTAAACTCTCCAATGAATGAGCATGTAAGTATCCAATAATCGTTCCCAAACTATACATGTTAATTTTAAAATATTGACACTGAGAAATGACATGTAGGTAGTGATGGTTTATAAAAATTGTGTAGTTTTGTCCTGGCTGGTATGGCTCAGTGGATTGAGTGCCAGACTGTGAAGCAAAAGGTTGCTGGTTCCCGATCAGGGCACATGCCTGGGTTGTGGGTAGGGTATCCAGTTGGGAGCATGCAAGAGGCCACTGGTCGATGTATCTCTCATACATTGGATATTTGTGTTTGTTTCTTTTACCCTCCCTTCCCCTCTCCCTAAAAATAAATAAATAAAATTTTTAAAAATTGTGTGATTTTATGGGGCTTATTTACTTGATCTTTTTTGAAATTATGCTCACAGTTTCTGTAATGTGTAATGATAAAAATATGACAACAATTTTGAACTTAATACAATGTATAAACATATTTACAAACATCATGTGCCCTGCTAGATGTTTAGTTAATAAAAGATTGAAACATTTTAGGAAGTGTAAAAATAGTTGTACCATGTGTAAGAAGTCTGAGAGGCCAAAGAAGAATTGCTAATGAAAAATTAGTGGTGAGCTCAAGTGGAATATAAGACTAAAATGAAATTTTATGAAGACTAGACAGCCAAAAAATATTGAAAAAAGTGAAGAACAATTGAGAGGGTGAAAAAGAATGAATCACTCTAAGACTAATTAAATAGAAGTACCAGATGGAAATAATCAACAAACTGTAATCAACAGAGAGGATCATAACATAGGGAATATGTATTACAACTGTGAATATGGCAGTGAGCTTGAACAGAGTTCTCACACATTATACCTTTTCTTCCATATGATTCAGACATGCCTTTCAGGTTCAAAGGAAGAAAATTCCTTAGTGTTCAACCTTTTTCAAGGACCATCAAGGACTAGAGGGACAGACCTCTAGCAGAATTTGCTTAGGTCTTCTAAAATCTGTATTTAGTTATATAAAATCTACACTCTACATTGATTGAACTTATTACATTCTACAGTGGATATTTATTATGTCTGCAGTGAAACAAAGGAATAAATATTTAAATTTTGTTAGTCACTGCGCCACTTAAACTCCCTCAATATTTTTCGTGGGGTTTTAATATAAGATCTGACCTTTTTTGCACACATCAGCCTATCTGCCTCTGTGTTAGTGAAGCAAAAACTCCTATCAGCAAAGAGAGACCTATCCACATCAATATGGAATGAAATAAAACATTTATTATGGAGTAAGCGCAACACAGTACATGCATATAGGTAGCCCTCAGACTGCAAAGTCAGGATAAAATTCCACAGAACTTAGATAGTAAAGCAAAATCAAAGTGCACTTGGGAATTGAGGTGGCTATTTGTTTAGCTAATTGACTTTCTCCAAAAGAATAAACCACCCCTCTCTAGCTACCATCCTGAGTCCCCAAGCGTGTGCGCGCTCATTGTCATCTGGTCTGGCCCAGACCCCCGAGCACCAACCGTAGTCCCCTGTGAGGCCCTGCGTCCTCTCCAACAAGGTGAAAGAAACTGTCCTGAACTGGCAGAAACTCACCAAACTGCAGGCACAAGCGCATTGGTGGGAAAGGGGCTGCTCGTATTTGTAGAAAAAGGAAGGTGGTTCACAGAATGGCTACAGCAGATGATAAAAAACTCCAGTTCTCCTTAAAGAAAGTAGGGGTAAACAATGTCTCTGGTATTGAAGACGTACATATGTTACAGACCAAGGAAGTGTTACCCGCTTTAACAACCCTACAGTTCAGGCCTCTGGCAGTGAACACTGTCAGCATTACTGCCGTGCTGACACATAGCGGCTGATGGAAGTGCTGCCCAGCGTCCTAAACCAGCTTGGTGCAGACAGTCGGACTAGTTGAAGGGCACTGGCTGAGGCTCTGCCCAAACAATCCGTGCATGGAAAAGCACCGCTTGCTACCAGAGAAGAGGACGGGGATGAAGTTCCGGATCTTGTGGGCAATTTTGATGAGGTTTCCAAGAAAGAAGCAAACTGATTGAGTCAACTCAGTTTGAGACTTCAGAAGAAGATAAACTTGAAGAAGGTATTGGCCGCTGCTATTTTATATTATGACTGTTTTTTCAAATTTTGTTTATGGATCTAATAAAATCTTGATCTCTAATATTTTTAAGCCCAAGGCCCTTGGACACAACAGCTTTCTTCAGTTTTTGCTTCTACACATATTGTTCTTCACAGCTAATTAAGCTTAAGAAGCCTGGGGATAAAGTTTGAAACAAAGGTTAATAAAGTTGTTTGCCTAAATAAAAAAAGAATGAAAGTCTTCTTTTTCTTCCCAAGATACACCTAGAATCTTCCTGAAACAGTTGCACCTGGAGATGGGCTCCCACATGAACTCTGTACATATATCTTTACATTTCAAAGAAGAATATGGCCCATGAACTTGGAAACAGGTCAATATTATAAGACTGGGCACTGAGCCCTTCTAGACCCTGGAGAAATTTATCTACATTCCAAAATTTAAAGAAGAGATTTGGGCACACTATATTCTCCCAAAAGACACCCTAAGAAGTGAAAGACAGGAAAACGGCCTCTTTCTTCTTTGCTCACCTTTATTTACCTTTACAATTCAACAAGTCCTTCAAAAACAGAACCCTGTGGAGGTGCATTAGTAGATGGCACCTTGTAGATCATGAGGAAGTCTTTCTTAAATAAATAAAGTCATAGGACACTTTGGCATTGCTCTGGGTATTGACAGATGAGTAAGAGTATTCCAGAATGGGATAAGAATATTCCATGCAAAAGAAAAAGTATGTTCAAAGGTCCAGAAAATGTGAAAGTTCATTATATATTCAGTGAGGGAGGAACAGTTGACTTGTACTACATTTGTATTTAGGGGCTGAGAAGCATAAGAGCGTAATGAAGTTGAGTACAGAGAAGTAGATTGGAGATTGTGAAATGCTCTCAGTGTCATCCTGAAGCTTGTGGAAAAGGCCTATCTATATTTAATGGTTAAAATAAGGCAATGTACTAATACTTGCTCGGGGGTCAGGGACAAATATTAGATAGTACCCCAGCCTCAAAGAGCTTATAAATCTGATGGATGCAAAAAGACATGAAGAATAAAACACCAAAAGTGGGCAAAGGTATTTGAGGGGGAGGAAATAGGATTGGGGATAGACTTTGGATAAAGTTTCTGAGAAAGCTCCTTGGATGATTTCATCCTGACCTATAATGTAAAGGCTCTCGATAATTGGAGTAGATCCTGGAATTCCAAACACTTGGAACCTTTGTGTCCATATGCTGCTCTCTCCCACTGTTTCCTGTTTCCACAGTTCTGAAGAAAATCATTCTGACCTTTAACGCAAATTGATGTCACCACACATTTAGTTTCTCATCACATCACTTTGCATATCCTTTCACTTCTTCTTGGTCAGTTCCTCTCCAGTTCTTAGCTGTTATTCCAAATCTTATCTGCTCTCCATTCTGACTAATGACTTCACCACCTACTCTTCAAACTCACAACCCAACTGATTATTTCATCACCTACCTTACTTTAAAAACTGAAGCTAACAGGCATTTTCCTCACCTACAACCTGCATCTGCTCCCATATTGTACTTTAATCCCTTCAGCCTCAAAAAGGCTGTGCAAAACTATATCTTTTATCTGAGCTCCTGATCCTTGTCTCACCCAGCCCCTCAGAGAGCTTGCTCTATCACTTTTTCTTTCTGCCTTCGATACCTTACACCTCTCCCTCTCTATTGACTCATTCCACTGAGCCTATAAACGTACTCAAAACTCTTCCATCCTTAAAAACCACTTTCCTTTTGTCCTGGAACCTCCTCTTGAAGTGTTTCCTGTTACCCTCTTGCCTTA